TAGAAACAACCTTTTTAAGTAAACTTTTTCGATATTCGAACAAATAATCCTACTTTCAGTGATTAATTTCAAAAAATGTCACTTTTGACATGTAGCGAAAGTCACGTGACCCCGATTGAGTAGGCCATTTTTCATCTTTTTTGAAGCAAAACTCAACGTCCAACTCGAATTCCAAAATAAGTCATTAATAAAAGTTTTTCCCATATGATGCCGACTTTATGAATGACACTGTATATATAACCTGTTTGTGAGAGATAATATTCCCATATCACTGATACGAACGAATTTTGGAACTTTCATGCTAATCAAAATCACAAATTATCCTATAATGTAATTTTTAAGGCACATTTTGAAGCACCAATATCTTTCACCGAGTCTTTCACATTGCACGAAAAAGATCCTCCTGCTTCAATGCTCTAAAGTGGACAGTTTCGAAAAAAATGGCTGAAGTTACCATGAAAATATATTACTTCAGAACTTAATTTTCAAATGGTTGTTGAGTGCTGGTTTCCAAATCGTTAAGTTTAGCAAGTGTTGTAAAGTGTATCTGAGTGAGTGTGGTAAAAATAATTTTCTCGTCTCCCTGATGTATCTTTGAAATGATGCCCGGGGAAAAATTTCGAAAAGGAAAAAAATGTTTTTTTTTTCATGTGGAATCTACAGTTTTCCTTCCACTTATTTGTTGACATCCTGTATATCACCATCCAGTTTATAAGAAGACAAGAAGAAGTGAATTTCAAACTGTCTTGCATAGTTCATCCATGACATCGTTGAAATCAGTTGAATCTTGAGATTCTTGCAGAGAGCGATGTATGAAAATATCAAAACAAGCAAAGAATCGGTTGAAACAACAACGCTGTTTATTCCACTCAAGAGTTAATTATCGATTTTCATCATAATACTTGTGACGTCAGTACCGTTGACGATTCTCACTCATGTTCTAACAGGCACAATTCTTCGAAAAGTTATTCTGGGAATGAAAAATCGAAAAAAATCTTCGTGCATTTGTCATCGTGATGAACTTCATAGTATGTATCATTTCTAGAAATTAGTGAGTATTTTAATTTTCGTCTCAATTAAACACACGTGACGAATCACCATGCACTTGACATTCACTTAGAATTCCTGGTAGAATTCGCGCTGTGGCTTCTGTATTGAGTAAAATAAACATTCAACACCTAAGAAAAACAAATAGCGTTAAGCACCTAATCTCCGTTGTGTGAGTTGTGCAAGCGTATCTTGTCAAAGTAGATTCGACCGCAAATATAAATATTGAAACGGGCTAAACAAAGTTTACTCATCAGGTCATATAGTATACAAACCAGCATTTATTTGTTCTACAGACGAGTAGCTATTTCATTTACTCCGGTTGTTCTTCTTGACACTACGAAAGCCCGATTGACTCATGACTTTGCAGCGTGATTTCGAGAAAAATGGTGGATTTATGGGTTTTGAGTCACAAGTTTAGAGTCGTAGGGGGAAAATTGTTCAATCATGCAGCATTCATGAGGACTGTATTGATGAAATGAACCTCTGGTGTACGCACTTCAATCCTTTCCTGTTTTACAATTCCGTGATTTTCGCCTACTTCGATGAACATAACATGGCGTGGGTGAACTCGTTTAGTCTGGTGCCGTACCAAAATTACAGGGATCTAAGTGACAATTGCGAGCGAATTGTGACCAATGAAGATAGGGATTACATTTTGTGATTTAGACGCATTAAGGTTGGTATAACTGATGTTAATCATAAGTTCTAGGAATCACGCCATCTAACATTCAATATGTGAACCCCACGTCATCGTCTGAAATTCTACAAGAACCAGTCTGACGAAACAAATATGAAGAGTGCACCAGAGGTTTATACATAAATCAATAGGACTGTCATAAGACTGTCATATCATGAGAAAAACACCCTTTCATTAGCTCATTTCACTTATTGTTTATCAGTTTTATACTGGGGTCACCAAGGTGGTTCTGAAAATACCATATTTGATAGACCTTAGTCTTTATGACGATGATACAGGGCGATTTATCGATTTCGAATAATCATTCCTTCGTCTATAAGTATTGAACTATCCTAAGTTTTAAGTCTTAAGTCGTAAGAAATGAATGTTGGCCAACTTTTCATACGACTTAAACTGAATGTTTATGACACGTGTATCAACGATTATATTGAAAAGCAATGAATAAACTTCCTAAGACTCATGACTTGATACTTACGACTCAAAACTTGATACTTGAAACTGCTGCATAAATCCTCCATTATATTCAGAGATGGTTGATGAAATAATAGCAATATTGACTGGTCTATTATTATTAGTATTATTGATGGAATTTGTATTTTGTTGTAATCTTCTGCTGAAGAGGTTATCAGTAGATTCAGTATGATCCTGACAAGAAATTTCTATAACTATTATAATATTTTAATAATTAACTGTGTTATCATTGAATTTTTATGATCTCCGCATGTAAGTTTAAAAGTATTAATGATATTAGAAATCATTATAATAATTGAGTAGCCGCTTTTTGTATTTGTTACGATCACAATAGTTATCACTGAATTTAATTCCTTCCCAGTTGAAAGTGCGTTTCTTGAAAATTCAACAATGGTTCTCTCAATAGTCTCAATAGGACCGTGGAAAACAATGGGTTCTATTACGAAACACCTCTCGTGTTTCACAATCACAATAGAAACCATATTCGACGCTTCATCATCTTCAAATTTCATGCGGGTTCATGATGTCCTTGAACATACAATTATTATTATAATCTTCAAGCCCACTTGAAACCAATAATTACTGAAGATTCAAATTCTCATAGAGGAAGAATAGAAGATATACGTGGGATATATTCTTCCTATTCTTCTATTCAACATGAAATATTGATGGTTAATACAGTGCTTTTCTTTAATGTCCCCTCTTTTATTTTTTGAACGGGTCAACTGTGGAGGGGGGGGGGACAGATGAAAATTTCAATATGGCGACTGGTGCCCTTTCTATATGATTTTTTCCAGATGGCAACCAGTCGCCTACTTGAGATTTTCATCTGTAAATTTTCCTCCGGAACATTGATTGATTGATTGATTGATTAATAGCAGAATGATCAGTAAGGGTTAGAAGCCCAAAACACTGCAGCCTTTGGGCCTATTGTATTCCTGATCATGCTGTTGACTTAGGTGAACAGGTTCGCTACCTTGATGAGGTTTAGCAGCCTCTTCACCAGATCATTCTTTGAAAATGCCTCTTGAGAGTTTACTGCTCCCAGAAGGTTGTATCTCCAACGCGCTAGTGCTTCGCACTCCAGTATTACATGGGTGGCAGTTTCATCCTCCTCATTGCATAGTCTGCATATGGGTTCGTCTGTATAGATGCCCATTTGATGCATATGTTTCCTCAAGGGGCAGTGACCGGTTATTAGTCCCGTCACTTGTTTGATCTGACTTCTGTTTAGGCTCAGAATGTCGTTAGTCACTGTTTTGGACAGTGTTCCAACCATCAGTTTACTGTGTCTTTGTCCTGGGACATTGTTCCGGTATGCCTGATGTCTTTCTTGCATCCACCTTGCCAGCCAGCCGCGTATTGAGGTTTTGGGGATACCGAACACAGGTTCCGGCCCCATAAACAACGTCGCAGACCCTTGCCGGGCAAGAGCGTCAGCTGCTTCATTGCCTTCAATTCCCTTATGCCCTGGCACCCATTGAAGAGTTACCTTGTCTGTATCCTCTTACGATATTCTCTCTCAGGCATGCCTCAATAGCATGCACCTCTGCCTGGAATACTGAAGCATACCTCCCCAAGGAAGCACACATCCTGGTTCTGGGTCTATCTCCATAACATAGTATCCATGCATCAATTTCAGCACTCCAAGTTTGCATTTTTTCAGTCGACAAATCAAAAAATGAAAAAGGGAAAAGAAAAGCACTGTATATTCATGGATTATTGTATACCGATGATATTCGATGGTATTTTCTATAGTGTCAAAATCAGTTTTGAGTATGATAGGTCGAAAAAATGCCCTGTAGTTTCCTTTTTTCATTCATTGATCCTGTAATCCTTGAAAGAATTACGATAATAAGCAAATTTGGCCCTATTAACACTGTTTCTGATTCAAGTACGATCCATGATACTGGTTTCAGTATCATGAGTACGAACAGTAAATAATCCTGTCACATCAGATAGCATCAAAATGTTGCAGTTGCGACCTTGAGTCTCGTCCTGACGAAAACGCTCGCTGGACACTAGTTGGATCTCCGAAAGTTGACAGCTGACAGTCGAAATACCGCCCCGGCCGACATTTGACAGCATCTCGGCCGGTAAAAACGAGAACAACCGTACCGACCGAGTACACGAGTACCTGCGACGGTCCAGCTCGTAATTTATCTTTGGATTGACGTACGGATGTGTGTACGACGATTATTTTTGAGACAGACCCACATTCCACTCGCGGTACGTCTTCATGCTAGTCAGTGGCGTATTCACTGGGTTGAGTCGTATCGTCCAACTTTGTTCTAATTACCCTGAAGAGTCCAACATCGTTGCTATTGACGTATATCACAGTTCTCCATAGGTTCAACACTATTGCATTTGGTGTATCTCATATTCGACCACACCACAGAAGGTCCAACATTATTTCACGTATCTCACAACTTGCCTTGGATGGTCCAACATAATTGTTATTGACCTATCTCTCATTCCATCCGAGAAGATCAACATTATTGCAATTGGAGTATCTCACTGTGCAACATCATTGATAATGACCTCTCACATTCCTCTTCCGAAGGTCCAACATTATTGCAGTTGTCGTATCTCCCACTTAACTCTGGATTGTTCAACATTATTGCACCTTAGCTGATCCAACCTTATTGAATATTCCTTTTTTTTTACATGTTACCATATCAGAGTTCAACATTATTACTATTGAATTATCGAGCATCTTGCCTCGAAGGTTCTCATAATATCATTGATTTTCACAGTTTTCTACAAAAAGTTCCAATATCATCATTATTGATTTATCCCCGAGATTTTACCTGAGAGGGTCCAATATTATTGCTATTGACAAATCTCACATTCCACCTTAGAGGGTCCAACCACAGTTGAGAGAATATTACATGTCCAACGCTCGGTCCAACGTATCTCTCATTTTACTTTACTTTGGATCATTCAACATTATAATTGATGTATTTAGCATTTCACTTCAAGTTTTCCAATATCATTGTACTTTTTTTTTAAATTTTTTGGTTGCACGAAGTATTTCCTATTTTACCTTGGAGTGGGATCAACACAATCGCAATTGACTCATTTTCAATTTTACCTCAAAAACTTCAACATTATCGCAGTTGACATATCTCACATTTTACCTCGGTGGGTCCAACAATCTTATCCATCTCAAATTCCATCCTCAATGCTTTAACATTAATGCCGAGATTAATGCAGTTGCCGTATCTCTCACTCAACTCCGAATGGTCCAACATTATTGCTATTGACGAATCTCACATTTCACTTCGAAGAGTCCAACATTATTGCGATTGACGTATCTCACATTTTACTCCGAAGTGTCCAACATTATTGCGATTGACGTATCTCACATTTTACTTCGAAGGGTCCAACATTATTGATATTGACGTATCTCACATTTTACTGCGAAGGGTCCAACGTTATTGCTATTGACGTATCTCACATTTTACTTCGAAGGGTCCAACATTATTGCTATTGACGTATCTCACGTTTCACCTATGGTAGGGTCCTAAGCGATAGTTTTAAAGAATGCCATTAATTCCCTGGTATTTCGGGCAACATTTATACCCCTGTGGAACCCCCACAAAAACGCTTATAGCTACTATATAATGAAGATTTATTCAGCTCATTCGATTGCAGAACATCAGAGGTACGAAAAAAGCCGTTCTGCTAGATTTTTGCTTGTTCTCGTTTGTCGTCGTATCTCTATACTTATTAGGGTTGCTCTGGAAGAACCAATTCTATTTGCGGAGTTATGGGATTATTATGCCTACCGACTAATTCTATTTTATGTAAGAAGAAGTCATAAAATTAATGCGAGTTCGAGATAGGAATAATGTATTTTTATTTGTGTTACCTTCCACGGATGACAAGAAACAAAAAAATTATTATCAGCTTCTGTTCGTTTTAATCTTGTTTGTGATGGAAACTAATAACAATACAAAATTGCGTTCAGATATGGATGAATGAATAATTAAAAAGATGAAATAATACTCGCCGATAAATATACTAAAAACTTGATTCGAACTGTAAAACCGGCGCTGTCATTGAACATACTTTTTCCAGTCCTCTTTTATGAAGACATCGAATTTGGAACGGTAACAAATCGACGACAACGCTCGGTATTTTAATGCCTCCATGTCGTTTTTCTTTCTCTGGTCCGTTTTCGGGAGGTCAACAACATCGGCTGACCAAAGACTGGTTCGCCAAAAGGACAAAAGAGTCGAAAATCTCTCAAGTGGGATTTTCTCTCAAGAGTCTCCAAAGATGCCAGGTTAGGTTAGGTTCCAAATCAGATTCTATTTGAATCCCCTTCGATCATATTTTGAACAGCTTCTAAAATAATATACGAGTCGTTGCAACCAGCATGTCCAAATATTTCTTATTCCCCATAACAAAATATCACGTGAATGTTGGAGACTTGGCAACACTGTGCTGAATGTTGAGAACTGACAAGACCACGCCCACAAGTCGTGCGCGGGGTTGTCACTTAAACGATTCAAATGTCCTCTAGTGTGAATTAACATAATTATTATTTACAAAAATTTATTGGCAATAAGCCACATGCTCATATTTTTATTCTCTAGCAGAGAAAATCCCAATGGACCTAGAAAAAAGGATGATACGGGGTGTTATAAACATGACTTTGTCGACTTCTTCCCCCCATCCTGAATGACCATATACGTACTAATGGATATTATTGAGGTCGCAGTGAAATACAACTTTGATAAAACGGCTCGAGAGTCAACAGTTTGGATAGTTTAATCTCTGTACGCGCAAAATTTATGGCTCGAATTGGCGTCTCGCGCCTTGAAATATGGCTTATGGTAAACACCGTCATCGACTTTAAGTCTTCGATATTTCTTTCGGCTGGAACGGTACGATCATACCCGTTTTTTTTTCTCTCTTTTTATTTTTGCTCGATTTATCACTTTCGAACTGAGAACGCACAACATCCTACCGGCCAGAGAAGTCGATATTTCAATCGAGAAAGAAAAAGAGAGGAGTGTGATTTTTTCTCTCTGATGTGAGTTGCTTGCAGAGAGGCTATATAGATACATGATATGTATGTGTATTCATTATCCAAACGCAGGTACGATACGATATTATATTGTCCTTTAATAACATTCTCAACATTATGAGATAAACGACTAACTAAGTAACGAACTAACTCTAGCAATTTGTCTATACTGATATTATGAAGAGGAAAGATTTGTTTGTTTGTTTGTCTGAATTGGCCCCGAATCCACTGGACATATTTGGTTGAAAATTGGTGGGCAGGTAGCTTCGAACCAGGAGACGGACATAGGATTAGTATTGGTATTGGTAGGTTGGATGGTGACAGATGCGCTGCGACCTAATTAGATCTATAGTGTCCCATCTGCTTCTGCTATATCCAGGATTTCTTGTTCATAGCAGCCCCTCGAGATTCAATTCCATCAGGAATTTGAGGATTCTGAAGGGGTCTAGCTGTGGTATTTCTTCCACAGTCAGCTGGTGTGTTCCCAGTATGTTCAATCTTTTGTGATGTACAGCGTCACACTCCATCAGTATGTGATGGGGTGTTTCTGGTTCTTCTTCAAAGAATCTGCAGGTGCCGTCCACCTGTAAGCCTAGCTTCCTTAGGTGTTCTTTGAGTCTGCAATGCCCCTTTAGAAATCCCGTCATTGCTTTGAGACTTCCTTTGCTGAGGTTTGTCAGTGTCTTAGATCTTTCTCGGTTGAAATTTCCAAGGAGATCTTTAGCCTGCCGTAGTCCTGGAAGTCTTCTCCATTGTCTGGCTCTCCAGGCTCCTTTCGCCTTCTCGAGTTCTCCTTGGAAATAGGAATTTCCAAGGCCGCAGAATGGCTCTGGTCCGATCAGTGGCGTTGAAGCCCCTTGTCGTGCCAGAGTTTCTGCTTGTTCATTACCCTCCACTCCAATATGCCCTGGCACCCAAAGGAGAATCACTTTATCGTTGCTGCCTAGCTCATTCAATCAACAGGACATAGGATACTTTTTATCCCGGAAGAAATTCAAGATGACGGATCCAATATGGCGGATTTTATGATTTTAATCCGATTCTATTCAAAATTGATATCTGGGAGTTCTCAGAGTTGGAGATTATGATTCCATGTTCTTGAAATTTTTCGCGTAATATGTTGTGGCTTATTCCTTGAAATAAATTTGTGTAAATAATAATTATATCAATTCACACTAGACGACATTTGGTCCGGTAAACGTGACAACACGGCAAGGATTGTGGGCGTTGTCTTGTCAGCATTCAGCACATGTTGCCAAGTCTCCAGCCAACTTTCACATGATATTTGGTTATGGATCATGAGAAATATTTTGAGAAGCTGCTTACTAGAAAAAATTTCAAATGAATAACTATAATATCACGGCTTAATTTGAGTCCCTATCGACACAGTGGAGTAATTGAATGCCAATTATTCTATATCTGAGTTGATTAGCTCATTGGGTGCGAATTTGGGTGTTGATAAAATTGATATGTTAGTGAGTTAGGTCATTGTTGAATTCGGTTTTGATGAGGATGGTACGTTGGTAGTATGGGTTCGTCGATGGGATGATCGATAAGTTCCGTTGTAGAAAACGAAACTTTTACATTTTTCTAACACATCCCATTGTCTATCAGGCAAGCAATCATGTTCGAGTATTTAGTCAGATAATGACCCGAAAACAGGAGCAATTACATTTTATCGCGATGCGAACAAAAACCGTTTCGTCGTCCATCCGCTTCTTATAGGTTAATTGTCGGTTCTCGGTATGCGAGCGTTCGCATTTTTTCGTGGGATTTCGCTTAATTGGTTGTGCGCAATCGGACGTGAGAATTCGGCGGTAGTTTCGAGAGTTTTACACGCAAAATCAATCGAAGGCACGAACGAAATTTCACCCAAAAGGGACGGTCTCGAGACGTGCTGCCGTTCGAACAGACTTTAGCCAAATCCGGCAATTCTCGTACGTCCAATCAATTACCTCTTCTTTTTCCGACTCTGAATATCCGCCTTCTTTTTTGCCACTTTTCCAGATACAGTGGCGTATGGAAACCGCATCGAAAATATAGTGGAAGGTGTTCTTTGACTCGTGCGGCGACTTGTCTTGCCGTTTGGCCAATGTGAG